ATAGGCGGAGTCAACGACTCGAACGCGGCACCTCACGGATATAAACTAGGCAGGAGGTTTGACGATTTAGGGCTTCGAGGGATTCGGGATGGACTTCTTAATCCAAACTGGAGTGGCGATTGTTCACCATCATGTCTTGGTCCTGTGGCTGCAAATGCGGGGTTTTTCTGCTTATTAGGTAAAAGTCTCAATTGAACCCATAGATGCTGACATACATGGGAATGAAATCATGAAATCTGTGCATCAGACTGGGTTGAATGTACAAGACCCTTAGCTGTAGCTGCATTAATCTAGACGGGAGGGACTGATGACAACCTTGGTATGGCACACATGATGCTGGAGAGAACGAGTAGAATATGCATGATAACAATCCTCTGGATCTTGCACGTTCCGCTACGACTGTGTAGACTACTAGTACCGGCATCTACTCAAATTTCTGTCGCGTACACTAGCGATCATAGATCGTATACATAGCACTGGATGATGATCTTCGTATGGAATTACGCTAAAGCGGTACTACCAGAGAAATCTATAGGTAGACTAAAGTAGCTACCTACTACACAAGCACATACTTGTTACCAAATAACCACATGATGCGCATCGGTTTAGCAGCAATGTTAGTCATGCAGTCTTTGTCTAGCAATGAGCATGCTCACATCAGCAAACTCTCGCTTTATTGGTACAGATCCAGTCATATCGAAAATTAGCGGCAGGATGTGATGACCATTGAGAGCCAGATTGCCAAACGCACACCAAAATCTCCAAAACTTGGTACGGCATGTGATTTCGTTGCTATAAATAGGCATCGCATGCAATACAACAAGATCTCGAGAAGAGACTCCCCATAGTATCATATTAGTTATATATAGCACAGACCTAGATCAGACCACGTTCCACAAATAATAGAAAGGAATTCTAGATAGTTCTATCGGAAGAAGCATGTCGTTTCTGCTCCACGCATAATACTACCATCTGACTCACAAAAGGTCTCAACTTCGCCAGGGCTACTACCCGTTTTCCAACAAGCTACATAGAGTCCCATATCACGCGCTCCTTTGACTCACACCTAACCATTCCCCAACTGAAATATAAACTCCTCAAGTCACGCATGGATGCAGACGTGCAAGCGCCAGCCTCCCTCATACACTATTATAAGCCGGGCACCGGATCTAAACCAACATCCATGGGGATGAATCTTCTGCCGGTACAAGACTGTACATTGGAAATATATATATCCATAGATTTTAAGCTATACACAGGCCCATTCCGTACATTAAGGATTGATAGGGGCTTATGTCGCTCCAGCTTTAGTGCACAAGCAAAGTGAGTTTGGTAGTAGCGCGCATTACTATATAGTCTATCCACTCTATCTATTAGGCTTACTGAATTATAGCGACCGCCTGCTGCTGGACTTGAGGGAGTGAATGGGAGGTACTATGCCCAGTCATTGGTTTTAAAGAATTAGAAGAGATGGAACTCTGGAAGCGGAAGCGGTGCAGTACGGTTTGAGGAAGCCAGCGATCAGATCTGGAACTATATGCAGGGTGGAAGAAGGGTACAAAAGAGCCTGGGACATACTAGAAAAAAGTGATGGTGTAGAAGAAGAACGTCAAAGTTTGGTTCAAGAGGCTGGTACCGGAGAAGAGCCAAAGACTCAGTCCCATCATACGCAAGCAGCCCTAGTAGATGCAAAAATGTTGGGCTGAGAAGCAGCCGAGGAGGCTAGATTGCGAGATGAATACAACTTGGTCATTTGAGATAGTCTAGTGTCGTGAGTCAGAAGATTCAGCGAGCCAAAGTATGGTTGATTACAAAGAGTCACTTAGCCCTGCATATTCATTAATATCTAAATTCTTGTAAGTTTCTATTGAAATCCCTCTGTTCCTTCTTCCCTCTAACAAGAAGATATACACACAGACACAGACAAGTACACACTAACACCAACACTCACACTCTCACTCACATTCACACTCACATTCACATTTATACTCAAACTCACAATCACACCAAAACCAAAACCAAAACCAACACGGGTACAAACATTACACACACATGCACACAAAAAGCCTTAGATACATCATCACCAAGCTCCAAATGTCCAACATCACCACATCAGAGCTCGACGCTCTCTTCAACGACAATATCAACATGGTGGACGCAACACCAGTCGAGCCAGAAACCCCAACATATCCGCTCACGACATTCCACCCATTTTGCATGCTCCCACCCGAGCTCCGCAATCAAGTCTACAATGACTACATGGAAGACTATTACACATCAAATCCTCTCCGCATCAACGCTCATGGCCTCCTCCGCGCTCCGCCTCTCATCAACACCAGCCACAGCATCCGCCAAGAGACAAACGGCTACATGGCCTCGAAAATACTTCAAAACATTGACAAGAAAGATCTACGCATCGAAGCGCAAGTTCTCTCTTACAACCCGACGCCCCTCCGCACCACCATCAGCGCCCTTGGCACAAAATTGTCCGTGCCAGAGGAAAAGCTCAACATGTCCACGACTGTGACCTTTGTCGGCCCATTCAACTATGAAAACATAATCAGCTGGATATCCAGTCCAAGATACGATTTCTTCAAAGAAAGACCACTCCAGTCAGCTGATTTACGAGCCTATGAGTCGTCAGAAGTCGGCATGTTCACAGGACCGCTGAGCTTGGCTTTCGCGGTAGACCAAATGCGCTACCTTGAGTCATTTGCGCCAGCCGCTTGGCGCTACATGGCCACCGAATTCCTGGTGACGGCTGGCCAAGTGGGATATACATGTGCACGTTCCTACGAGGGAAGACAGGAGCAGAAACAGGCCGTGTTTGAGGTGGTGGCACGTTGGCATTATGAGATGAGGTTGGATCTTGCGCAGTCGGGCAAGAAGAGGATGACAATGAGGCAGCTGAAAGAAGTGAGAAAGAGGCATGCGGATATGGCGAATGCGGTCTATGCGTTCTGGGTGCAATGTGTTCGTGTTCTGATGGAGTGAGAGCAAGTCCCTGGGCGGCGGGGTGCGCTTGGTGTTACCCTAGCAGTGCTGTGATGAGAATGTCATGTAAACATTAAAATATTCGACGTGCAAACTTCCCCCAAACAGAATGAAGCGCAAATACAACTGCTCGACCTTAAGTACAGGGCATAGGCAGTCCCTCGTTTACCCCAAGAAGCGAGAATGCATCCGTTGACCATGACCATACTTTCGCCTACTCAGCATGCGCCCGATCCCCTCTCGGACCACTCATCCCAATCTCAAAATCCTCTCTAATTCTAGACAATGCACTCTGCTCCTCATCATCGCCAAATTCCTCCTCACTATTGTCACTAATAGCAGTACCACCTAGATGCTCCGTCTCATCTTCATCTCGCTCCTCCTCACCCTCCGAATCGTCCGAATCGTCATCGTCCTCTTTGTCGTCCCGCGGGTCGTGCCCAAGCTCTGGCTTCACCTTTCGTTCAAAGTCCTGGGCATGTGCATCGCGGAAAATATCGCCGACATGGGTGAAAGCGCGCTGTAATGGAGACGGTTTGAAGTCCTCTTGAAGGGCGAAACGTTGGCGTGTGGACGAGGTTTGGCGTTCGAGATCTGCACCGGTACTTGTGGCGGGATGGGGTAGGCCAGGAGGGAGGCCAGACGGTACGTCCGGTGTACGTGGACGATCTTCGTCAGGCTGCTCCCCGTTGATTCTCTGGCCTCGGAGGCTTCCGCCACTGTAGCCCGTTTGTTCGGGAGTGGTAGACATGTAGTATGGTAAGGGAGCATCTCTGCTTGCGCGGAACCGACCGACATTTGTGCAGTGTTCGTTCTCGACGCGAAATAGGGACCACACTCCTCGCCTAAAGATTTCAAGTAGAGAGACACAGAATGATGTCACGGCCGAATGCTGGAGCTGGAGCGGTATAATCGTGTAGAGTACCCAGTTGAAGCGAAGGATGGGATCCATAATCATGGCTCCATAGTACCACCAAACCTTCTTATAGGCCAACTCTTTCCGCAGAAAGCGGTGTTTTGCGTGTGGATCGCCCAGTGACCAGTCAAACATGATGTCCCAAATGGAAGTATAAATGCCATTGATCGTTGCAAAGGTGATGAAAGCGGCCTTTGTTGCTGGTTTCTGATCCTGACGATAGATGCTCAAGCTTACATAAAACATTATGGTGGCCATATACTTCCCGCAATTGAGCAGATGCGGGAATTTGTTGCCAGTGTCCCAGTAACGGCGCATACACTGTAGTGCACGCCATATACCTGGCAGTGTGGTCAAAAAGCCCAAGACCCGTAGGTGCGAGGAGTTGCACTGAGGCGGATCAGTCCATCCCTGGGCGTAGAGGCAGAAGAATAGCGCAATGTTCTTATACGAGGTTAGCTGCAGTTTCATGATCAAAAGTGCGACAGACTCACGCCCATGCTGTATGTCAAGGAACAAAACATGTCGCCAAGGTAAAAATCTCGCCATTCAACCGGATAAATACCAGCGAGTACTAATCGCCACTGCAACTTATTTAGCATTCAGCCTGCTGTTAGGGAAAGCAAAACTTACCAGAGAATACAGAAGCCACATGCGTGTTCGAAAGTAATAGATCTTCATCGGATTACACAAAATGGAGACAGCAATTCCAATCAAAATCACGGGATAGTACAGGTACATCCGCTCTCCTCCGACCCGATTAAAGTTAATTTGCATGAAAAGGCCCAACAAGAAGAAGCACCAGCAAGGTAACTGAAGCCTATTAGCATCTAGTATTCTCAGGAAGCCGGAGTACTGACCTCAGCAAGCTGTCTCCAGTCAAGATAATGACGAGTATCGTATTCGAAGATAAAGACGTAATTGATCTTGTTATCGTGCCAAATGCGGCACGCCAAGCAGAAGAGAAGGAGAAGGAAGTTGATGAGAAAGTATCCGGCATAGATCTGCATTGATTAGTACAGCCACAACTCATCTTCCGCGCAACTGACCTGCAATAGATAGCTAGTATTCATTGCCAATGTGCTGCTCTCTGGATGGTCCAGATCTGTAATACTGGTCGCTTGAATGAGGCCCTGAACTCCAAGGATAAGACCGGCAGTCAGCAAGATGCCGTTATGAAACGTATTGTCTGTATAGTCTCCTGCACGCGCGACCTTGATGCGCAGCTTTCCAATGGCGACTTTGTGGTTTCCACGCTCGAAGTACCTCGCATAGAGGTCCTCGGCCACTCGAATATGCCCTTCTATGATCTCGCTGTTGACGAACCACGCCTTATTGACCTTCTCATTCATGTAACGCGACGAAGGACGGGCGTTGACAGTCTTGTCGTACTTTTTGTTAATCTTGCGAAAAGCCGTCCGGTTTAACAAGGCGTACGATTTGAGTAGCTCCAGCCCACGATAATACTCTTGGAGAGCGACTTTGAGCTTTCGTTTTGCGGTTCGGTAAGGCACATCAGGTAGTTCTGGGCGACGAGAAAAATCACGTCGATCATCGAGATGATCTTTGGGTTGCAATGCGGCAGGTGTTGCAAGCTGTGTGATGTTCTTTGTGCTTTTACCATACTTGCCGGCGTTGATGGCATCCAGTGCAGCATCAATCGGGTTTAACCACGATTCTTTCATTGTACCATTGTCTGCTTTGGGGTTCTGAGCTGTTTCGTCGGCCGAGCTGGCTTGTCCATCCTTCAGCAATTGATGGCCCTCCTGTTTCTTGCCGCTCTTCTGTTTGATCTTGGCAGTCTGACGTTGGATGACCTCGTCGATACGCCGATCTCGCATAATGTGAAGCTGGTCTCTCAGTATGAAGAGACGTTGTGTAGCTTCATCTTCCTTTTGCTTGTAAAAAGTTTCTATCTTGTCCAACTCGGCGTCGAGAAAATTGAAGAACTCGGCCTGTCGAAAATCGAGATCGCGATACGCTTCCAGAGGAACATCGCCCGGGCTCCGAGGAGGTGATTTGTTACTCATGGAGAACAAGCGTCGGCGTGCAGGTCGTGACCTGGTCTGAGTAATGGGTCCTGGCAACGAATTGACGCGCTTCGGAGAGAACACAGTCTTGTATCTGTCAGGCAGAGAGATATGCTTCTTCTTATTAGGAGACTTTGTCCTGCCCACCTCAAAGGCATTATCCGTCTCTGTGTCTGCGGGGGGCAATGCAACTGTTGTATGCTTGGTTGGAGAGGCGGGAGCTGGTCCGACGCGTGGAGAGACATTCTCGGGATCAAGGGCTGCACCAGGGAGCTTCAACGATGGTGGTGCTTTGCTATTTCCATCCGAAGCCGCCCGATCACGGTTGCGCGGGCTCGCAAAGAAACTGCCATAGCTGGTGGCCTGTCTATGCGCCAGCGGCTGCTCTTCGGGTGAGCGCCCGGGTTGGCTGTCACTGGGCTGCTGCTGCTGCTGTTGTTGTTGTTCTTGTTGACTGTTGCGACTGTTGGTGATGGCGAGCGTCCTCAGATCCTCGGGGTTCCTCGTGCTGCCCGTCTCTCCCTGTCTAGCGTGGTCGCGGTTCAGATAGGAGTATTTGGGAGCGATGTCGAAGGGGGAAGGCAGGATGTTGGTGCCGCGGCGGCGAAGGCGCGGTGTCGAGTCTACATTGCGCAGCGCCCGGCCGATCGCTTTGACTTTCTTCTTGCCCGTCTTACGAGGCCGTCAGCAAATGCGTAACTATAGGTACATACTACTGAAGGGCTAGAGAGCAACCGGCGCACCTTGTAGTCTAGATACTTGAGCCGCCACTCGGGCACGAGATCGCGTTCTAGTTCTCTATTGCCAGTCAGTACATGTGCGAGACGGACGGCTGCGAACGAGTCTTTACTTGGCGAATTTCATATCGATACTGTAGACGCCCCGAGACGTCCATCCATGCAGGGAAAAGATGGACGGGTATTGGCTATCTTCACGGGACAGTCGCACACACGGATGCGAGAAGACACAGGATGCGGCCTCGCTCAGCGCGTTCAACGAAAAGCCGCGCCCAGATGCGCGCTCGGGAGAGGGCGCAAGACTGCGACTGTGTTTGTTCCAGCAATCTATTCGTTATGAGATGCGGGTTGTGATGGATGAGTTGTTCGCCGATCAGGGATTGGCCCACTTGGCGACGACCAATCCGACGTCATAAATTATAATTCTAGGCCCCTTGTTTCACGCACGTGATGTCGCGTCCACGTGCATTCACCAAGGCTGAGATGGACATTCATCATTCATGTAGGTACACGAGAGCACGGCGTCTTGATTACACTGTATTGGTCTACGAAACATCTGATGCATCTGGCATCGCCTTCAGCCAGCCCTACTGCACGGTGTTGGTATGCGTGCGGCCGGCTTCACTACCATCTGCGTCTTTCAAAGTGCTGGGGGGGACCGTACTGGTTGGGATCATACTGGTCGGCTGACTGGTTGTTGATGTAATGCTCGTCGTACATCTGCTCGGCGTTCTGCCTTGCCTGACGCTTTGTCCTCTCTCTGTCGAACCAGTCTTCACCCTTGGTTTCCTTGTAAAGGTCAGAACCTGGTTCGGACGAGGCCAAGGGCTTACCGTATCATACCGCAAGCTTATCGACTTCGGCGCCCGCAAATCCGGCGAGCAGCTCCTTGGCGAACTGGTGGGACACTGGCTTGCCTGTAGCCATTGTCAGTGAATGATACGGAGCCTTCGAATAGCACGACACAGCCTACCTTCAGCGCGCTGGTGGTCCTCGAAAGCCTTGAAGCCAGCAAAGGCGGCCCCTCCAGCAAGGATTTCGTGGCCTAGACTGCCCTTGTTTTCCTCGAACTGGTCATTCTCGTACACCTGCTGGTAGTTGTCCTCGTGTTTGTCTGTAATTATGAATTAGTCTGTCTCTCGAGGGGAAGCCGGAATCCGCACCCCAAAAACCCATGATGAAGATGTTCTATTCAAGAATGAGGACTGAGAGTCATGTAGTAGTACTCGAGGCTATCGGGACACATGGGAACTGGCGGACGTTAAGTATTCGTCGTTCCAACTTCCGCCTAAGTCAACCTGGATGCGTTATTGGCCATCCCAGCACCCAATCGCGCGTACCGTAGGTAGTCTGCCCTTTAGACAGATCACTCTACTGGCGCCTGTCATGTCGAGGTGTCTCCCTAAACCGCTCAGCTGCATAGTCAGCATTTGTGGCACACCATCCGGGGTAGTGTCGTGTTTTCTGGATTTGTGATTGCACCTCAATACGCATCGGGGAGCCTGGGTGACGGTATCATTGGGCACAGCTTACAGATCGAGACGCGTGAGAGCATAATCAAGGTTCTGATGCAGTTTAGAAGCTTGCGTCACGCGGGGGGCCGGATGGGGATCCGATGGAGCAAATGACAAAGCTAAACAAGCTTTGCTTGGTAAAGCTTAGTTACCCGCAGCCTTTTATCATCTTCCTGAAGACATCTTTAGTAATGTATTTACAACTAAAAGAACATCAACCCGGCCCCTTCTTCCACAGTTATATAACATTTACATCCAAATAAACCAAAACAAAAGGCTTTGGATCCTAGTAGCAGGAACACCTGTCATCTTTGAAGGAGCTTGTTTATCGAAGGGGACAAGTCGCGACACGTAAGCGACTGGCATGCCTACTATCATTAGGCTATCACGCGCGTGGCGGAATGCTGTTCCCCATGGTTTCACCACGACATCGCACATCACCAATGTGTAGTACCTACTCCTAGGATCTAATCCGTTAAACCCTACAACCACAACCATGCCTGGCCGACTGCCCTCAAGTGCCGATTTCCCATCCTCTGCGAAGTTGAGCATCACGCCACGTGAGTCTCGTCTAAATTGCTTAGGATTCGCGTCACGAACCTGGCTAAATAACACCAACAGCGCCCACTCCACAACCGCCCACCAACGTTTTGATCCTGTTGCACGGCCTTGGCGACACGAATGCGTCCTTTACAAGACTGGGACAACAACTAAATCTGCCAGAGACAGTATGCATCGCTGTACAAGCACCCGCCCCACTGCCATTCGATCTCGGCGGTTTTCATTGGGGTGATGACATGATATTCGATCAGAAGACGGGTGAAATGGACATGGACACTGGGTTCAAGGCGTCTATGCGACTCGTCCTGGACAGTGTGATTCGCGAGGGGCTGATGAAGAAGTGTGGCTACAAAGCGCGTGAGATGATCCTCTTTGGCTTTGCGCAAGGCGGCATGGTTGGCCTACAAGCAGCGGCAGAGCTTGATGGCGAAGAGCTGGGCGGGGTCATAAGCATAGGAGGCACTCTGCCACTGTCCTTGTCCGTGAAAGCACAGGAAAAGAAGAGCAAGACTCCGGTTCTGGTATGCAAGGCATCCAGAAACTCGGCAGTCACCGACGGCTCCGTGTCGAGAATCAAGGGCGTCTTCGAATACGTAGAGATCAAGGAATGGGCTAAAAGGGGTGACGGCATGGCGAGTAACCGCGAGGAAATGATGCCAATCATGCAATTCTTCGCCCGCCGGTTGCGAAGCACTCGAGGCGTCCCCGCAGGCAGTGTTGAGTTGACATGAGGAACCGTTGGGTTTTCTAGAAAATGAGGACCATTTCAATGATGCACACTGGGGTCAGACTGCGGCCGACGAAGCCATGGACAGTCGGCCCCTAATTCGATACCTAATCGACGACGACGACGACAACAACAACATGAGGGAGGGTCAATCAGAGAAGAGGGAGGACTGGCCACCAGTCATGTTGGAGCTAACGGTAGATACTGCCTACGGGTACTGTCTATTCGAGAAGAAAGAAACGAAGCTTGTCGCCGTGCGTGAATTTGTCTCCCCTCATTCGTCCCGAGTCCTTTGATGGACAGCTGGGCATCCCCAAATGCTGGCGGGCATCCGAGGGGATGTGCACGTGCATACCATACTGTATGTAGGTTAGGCAGGCATGCCACATGGCCCATGGCCTGTGCGCCCCCCTTGCGTCACCACCTTTGGTTTTCCGTTTTGATGCATACGTACTGTGACTGTATACTATGTACTCCACTTCCACTTCGACTTTCCACCATTGTGTTTCTCACCGCTACATCGGAGCAGGATGGCGGGACCGAGAAAGTCCCTCTGTGGATTTCTTACCCAGGCCAGAGCCGCTTTGCGAGGTGCTATCGACTCTAGCCAGAACGTGACGCTTGTCATTGGCAATGAGTCGGCCGGTGAGGGCAGCGGTGACTCTGGATTCGTCCGAGGCTGATAAGTGGCAGACCTTGATTCGATGTCCTGTTCCCTACTTTATGCCTACCTACGGTCCATGTCACCGCCCAAGAATGCCTTTAGTCCCCTCTATATACCGATCACCAATATTCCCGCGTCCGACGTCCAGTTGCGACCCGAGTATCTAGCGGTGTTGAGACATGCCAACGTGGAAGCTAAGCAGCTCATCACGCTGGATGACCTGCCGGCTCCGGAGGACATGCAATCTCGTCTCAGGCCTGAGAAGACGAAATGGATTCTTGTGGATCACAACCAATTACAAGGCCAGCTGGGCAAAATCTATTCACATCGCGTAGCGGGAGTCATCGATCACCATGATGACGAAGGCAGCGTGCCGAGGGATACCGGTGATGAGCCGCGGATCCTTGAGAAATCGGGTAGCTGCACCAGTCTGATTGCCAACTATTGTCGGCCTGCATGGGACCAGCTCTCCGGGTCTGCAATGTCTTCAGGTGCAGAACCGGGTCCAGAAGAGAGTAGTCGCTCTAGTGATGCAGATGCGGCCTCTGTGAAGCAGTGGGATGCGGATGTGGCCAAACTAGGCCTCGCAAGCATACTCATTGACACGGCCAAGCTTGAGGACAAGAGCAAGACGACGAAACATGACGTTGCAGCCGTCGAGTATCTCGAGGCCAAGGTGATGCTTTGTCCGCAGCTTGCGGCAACCTATGATCGTAGAAGCTTTTACGAGGAGATCGACGCTGCAAAGAAGGACATGGGCGCAATGGCACTGCAAGACATACTTCGGAAGGATTACAAGCAGTGGGATCAGCAGGGGTTGAAGTTGGGAGTGAGCTCGGTGGTCAAGCCGATTGCATTCCTGCAGCAAAAGGCTGGTGAGGAAGAAGGGCAAGGAGGAGGAGGAGGCGTTGGGGCGGAGAAGGCGTTGCTGGGTGGGGTGGAGAAGTTTTGCAGAGAACGTGGGCTGGACGTGTACAGCGTGATGACGACGTCGACATCGTCCGAGGGCAAGTTCCAGAGGGAGCTGCTGGTGTGGGGGTTTGGGGAAAGTGGTGTCAGGGCGGCTAAGGGGTTTGCGAGGCAGGCCGAAGAGGAGTTGGGGCTGTCCACATGGGATGGACCCAGCGACGTGGCCGAGGGGAGTCTAGGCAAGGAGCAGTGGAGAAAGGTGTGGTGGCAAGGAGAGGTGCAGCACAGTCGGAAACGTGTCGCGCCTTTGCTCCGGGCAGCCATGGGCAATGGGCAGCAAGTTGTAGAGTAGGGTAGGGTAGGATAGGATAGAGCAGAGTAAGAGCCTGTGGGCCTGTCGAGGAGATGGGCGATGTGGAGTCGTAGATGGGGGATGATTGGGATGGATTGTACATTTGATAGTCTATAGACAGATACCCGGTTGAGCGTAGATGGGTAGGTGCAAGTAGACTATGTAGTGCCAGCTAGGTTTAGGTAGAATCTAGATGGGTAGATGGGACATGGTATGTACTCTGGGTATGTAGGACTGGTTGGTAGAGTTGTAGTAGTGCACTGGCAGAGCAGAGCAAGCACCGTACTGTACCATGGAGGACGGCGGGGAGACAGGAGAAGGTGCCAAGGCCGGCACATGGATCACCTGGGCACTTGCACTGGACCCGACCCAGCTCTGGAGGTGCCGCCCAGCGAGCTCAGCACCCGAGCAGTCGAGCTTGAGAACAGCTAGACGTGGGCTATGGCCATGAGCATTCCCCAACCGTGTGCAGACTGGGATGGGTCGAGAGGACGAGGAGAGGTGCAGGAATATGGGTGGAGTTACTGGAGTGTGTGCAAGCAGGAGAGAGGGTGGGTAGGCATTGTACATGGTCTAGTTGGTCGTGCGAGGTGCAGGGGTTGAGGGTGCAGACATGGCATACATGGGAGGGTGGCAGGGAGCCAGTCTAGTACTGTGTACATACATGAGTAGGTAGTAAGTAGGTAGGGTAAGTAGGTAGTGGATGCAAGGCAAAGCCGTGGGAAAACAGCGGTTCACCGAGCGAGAGGTGGGGAGGGGTGGAGTGACAGAGAGTGGAGGAAGTAGAGAGGGAAGAGGGGTTATCCATGTCGTCTTGTGTTGGACAGCAAGATTGGGCCTGGCTGGCTGGCTGGAGTAGGAGTAAAGTAGGGTAGACTGTAACTGTCACTGCGAGTGGATTGAGAGATGAATGGGTGAATGAATGAAAGAAAGAATGAATGAATGAATGAATGAATGAATGAATGAATGAATGAATGAATGGATGGGATGGGATGGGCGGCCATTTTCTTGGCGGCGGGCTGCCAACACATCAAGCGCAGGTGCAGGTGCAGGGAAGGGGCATGCAGGCGACAGGCGACCCAGACAAGTCGACCACTGGACAAGAGTCACGTAGGTGTAGGCTACCGAGGGCGGGTATCGGTAGTAGCTACGGATGATGGGACACGACGAGCATGAGATTTGTGCAGATCAACGGCTATGTATGGCTGTGGTTGATGTTCGAGTTTGGTGATACAACATTCAAACAGCAGGGAGAGAGAGAGAGAGAGACGATGAGGATGAGGATGGAAACAAATGAAAATGAGAGAGAGAGAGAGACAGGCATGACCGTGGCAACGACAATAAACAACGGCGGTGGCGACGCGATGCGATGCGATGCGATCAAGAAGGATGATGCGCTGTCCAGTCGTCCGTCTAGAGTATGTATGGGCCCCCAGTCTTGTCTTTACTTAGCGTAGTAGTGTAGTGTAGTGCAGTGCTATGTATACATGAATGCAAGTAAGAGTACCTAACATGAAGGTAGAGTCTAAGTCGGTAGTGCTAGGAACCTCTCTGTGCATACTCCAACAAAATCCGATGGTGCTATGTGTACATGTCCAGGTGATAGTGACTGTAGGTACTATGTAGGCACTCTTTTGGGGTACAAGCCGTATGATGATGATGATGATGATGATGTACGACGACGACGACGATGAGGATGAGGATGATCTTGAAGGCCTAGAACAAGTCATCTCAAGTGACATGGTAGCTACTTACTGGCTACCTCTGGTCGTGGCACTCGTAGGTACACACACTGTACAGGAGGTACACCTGCAGTAGGTACCGCGTAGGTAGAGGTACAGGTACGTGTACATGCTGTACATGGTACATGGTACATGGTACATACGCACACAAGTACGTACATATACAGTACAGTACAGCAGCATCTCTGCCCATGGTCCTATGGCTGGCCTTGTTCGCGGCCCGTTCGCCCATCACCGCTCGCTCCTGTTCGCAGCCCAGTCCACAGTCCACAGTCGGACCCCCGTTGAGATGCAGCACCCCGTCGTGACTTGCTGACTTTGCTTGCCCACCAACCCCTCCACACATGCACACACGCACCGCACACACAGACACACTCACACCCACTCGCTCACAGCCAACCACCCATACACACACCCACTTGGCCACCGTCTCGTTGCTGTCACTTTGTTATTCTAGTCCTTGTTGTTGTTGTTGTTGTTGTTGTGGTTCTTCTTCTTCTTCTTCTTCTTCTTCTTCTTCTTCTTGTTGCTGTTCCAGCCGTTGCAGGGACCGACTCGAGAGGAGGTGACCCAATCACGCCTCCCCACCCCCACCGCCTCGCCTACCGCGACGATACTGCCCAAACAAGTCAAAGACGCGCCAACGCACACCTTCGACTCCCCCCTTGCAATCATCCCGCTGATGTCGCCCACATTGCCGGGT